GTCCTTCACACTAGACACCTGGAAAAAAATCTTCACCATCATATATAAATCCACGCAGAACACCGAGGCGCAAGAGAGTAATTATAAGCGCATTGCACGAGGGTACTACACCCCGGCTAAACTCCACACCATTTTCCCCCAAACATCCACATGCTGCTGGAGATGCCATCAACCCAACAGCACGGCAACCCACATCTGGTGGACGTGTCCGGAGGTAAAAAAGTTCTGGACACGTATATCAGGCCTAATCCAAACAATTATAGGAGAAACTATCGCACTAACACCCGACACCTTTATATTTCTCCTCCCGCCCCGCAACCTGCCCAAAAAGAAGGTGCAACTACTAACGCACCTACTCACAGCTGCCAACCAACTAATTCCACTGTTCTGGTAAAAACCCAACGCACCAACCATCAGGGACTGGATACAGAAAGTGGAGAACACGAGAAGTATGGAAGAAATATGCTACTCCTTCTCAGACAAATACACTACTTACACAGACACATGGGCTAGGTGGTGCGAGTACATGCGAACCACGGGAGCTCAAACGAGAGACAATCAGCCCGCGCAGCCCTAGATCACTACCAGGGGGATCAATGTAAACCGCTAAACAGCGAAACCAACACACACGCTACCATTGACAATACGGAAGCTGACACAAAATCCTGCAGGCGAACTCCAATTCACACGAAACCAACAAAGACCAGTTATAGAGCGATTACCTCTTATAAAATAAGAAGGGTTTACACCTTAGTACACTGAACAAGGCCCAAGACCAAAATTCTCCTTACCAATTGACAGATCGCAGCAGACACTCTCTTGCTTCTTTAGACCGCCTATGTGTCGGCAGCAATGTTAGCAATGATCAGCTGTATAGAATAGGAGTTCATTAATAACGTTATGTATTTCAAACTGTTTAGTAGTACACTGTTTACTCTGTGATGTGACGAACACTTGGTGAATGCCATCCAATGCAAGAGATTTTACATGCACAAAGTTGATGAAAACAATAACCGTACATTCTGTTGACCTTACTTGCTGTTGAACACGGTACCTATAAGATTGTTGCGATATGTATTCAACCATTGTTCACTTTATTGCACATGTTATGCTTTTGAAAAAAAAAAATATATATAATTGCAAAATAAAAAAAAATAAAGAAATAATGAAAAAAAAAATCTGCATACTAGGAACCAGTATTTAAAGGCGCATAATAAGGTGCGCAATCATTTATAGCTATTTGATCTGACTTAACATTTGATGTCCATTATGATGCACCAAGATTCTCTTCTATTTTGATATTCCTTTCAATGACTGTGAAAAATGCCTACGAACTGAAGAGATTAAGGTCTGGTTGCCACCTGAGAAGTGCACACAAGACTGCTGTTTAGAGCTTATATCTGTAAAAGGCTCTTTTATATGTGAGTCTTTTGTACAACTGTGTTACTTAGATTCCAAATTTGGTACAATATCACACCAGTGTATTTTCTTTCTTTTCATTCTTTCATATGGTATTAACGCCCTATACTGTTTGTAGGGGTGTTATTTCTGTAGCACTGCAATCTCACTTATATTTTTAGGTGGTGGGGCACATCACCTAAACAATGAGTTTGTTGTTTTTTTACTTCACATATTATAACTGAGTCTTGGGAGACTCATCATGAAGGAACAGCAAATTAGCCTTTAAAATAATGAATTTATTCATCAACTCATCATATCTAACGAAGCTCATTTTAATTTAAACTGTTTCATCAATAAGCCAAACTGTCATTTCTGGGTTACAGAAAATCCATGGATAATTCATCAACGCCAATTGCACACTACCAAATGCACTGTCTAGTGCAGGGTGACCTCGCATGAAGTTATCAGGCAGAAATTTGAGCACTAAAGCTTCAAACATTAAAGGGACACTATAGACATCCAGATCACTTCAGCTCATTGAAGTTGTTTGGGTGCATATTCCCAGGTCCCTTAATCCTGCAAAGGTAATTATTGCAGTTTTTAATAAACTGCAACAATTACGTTTTTGGGTTTACTCCACCACTAGTGGCCGCAAGAAAGGGGGGAGCTATAGTGCCAGGAAAACAACTTTGTTTTCCTGGCACTAAAGTTTCCCTTTAACTAATGTTGTTATATACAATGCTATTGAAAGAGCCAGACTCTCTGTCTAGAATTCATTGCATGTAATATCATCATTGAAACTGTTTAATTAATCAAAAAAAGTTATGGACTCCTCAATCCCTACTCTGAATTTTGGCCTATCCTGTATAAGTTCCACAAAACCTGTAACATCACCCAATACCCCAGATCAAATTCACAGTCAGTTTTTCTCCAGTAGTTATATTCAGGGGCGGTGCAAGGACTTTTGCCGCCCTATTTTTTGCTTCCCAATTCGTTCCACCAACTCGTGCAGACTTACCTACACTGGCCCATACACACACATGCTGACTCATACAGACACACACACGCTCACACTGACCTCCCACAAAAACACACACTGACCCATGCAGACAGACGCTAACCTATACACACAAACAGACCCATACATACACACTGACTTATAAAGACACACACTGACCCATGCAGACACACACTAACTCATAAAGCCACACACACTGATCCATACACACACAGAGACCCATACATACACACACACACACACTGACCCATGCAGGCACACACTACCCATGCAGACATACACCCACATACATACACACACACAGCCCCATACATACACACACAGCCCCATACATACATACATACACACACACACACACACAGCCCCATACATACACACACACACAGACCCACACACTCACAGACCCATACACACACACATCCCCATACATACACACACACAGACAGACCCATACATATTCACAGACAGACCCATACATACACACGCACACACACACAGCCCCATACATACACACACACACAGCCCCATACATACACACACATACACACACACACACACACACACACAGACCCATACATATACACACACAGACAGAGAGACCCATACATACACAAACACACACACACACACAGACTCAAGCAGACTTACATACACAAACATACTGAATGAAACAGACTGACACACATTCTATGAAACACACACTGCAAGTTCTCTCTTACCTTCATTGCACTTTATTCTTCGTTCCTGTCATCCTTATAGCGCCCGGCGGTCGACACTTTTTTCAGCCCCATTTATTGTTATTCTCCTGCCCACTTGTTCCCACGTACAGGGCAAGGGTGAGCAAATGAAGTACCCTTGATGCACCCTACTTAGCCTATAGGATGCACTGGCTCTGGTTATATTATCAGGGGTAGAAAGGACAGATGACAAAAATAAGGGGGTTACGCAAAAAATGAAGACTGCAAGTCCTACATTTAAAGGGATGGTCTCATATGAAGAGGAGTTGATGTCTGGTTCAGACTGCCCAGCACTGTATTTAAGGGGAATGGAGTTCATAAAATATAAATAGTAACAATAAATATGTGTATTTTTAAAGTTAGAGTGTCCTTTTAAGATATTGAACAAAAAGAAATAATCTAAATATTAGCCTCCGGTACTGAGTTCTTTAAGATCCACAAAACTAAAGCTGATGCAAAGGGCTTTCATGCAGACTTTCAACCAAATGGTCTGCTGTCTTGTATTAGACAAAAAAGGGAACCAAAGAGCTCACAGTCATTTCTGAGTAAATCATGCCTTTCTAACCTCATTTTGCCTCTTTCAGCACACACACACAGACTGCAGTGCTAAGAGTCCCACCCATAATCCTTGTCCCCTCTGCTACCGCAGCGGCCAGGAGATAGCTAGAGGGTTTTTTTTGTCAGTAGAATGGTTGTTGCACAGCATGAAGGGAAAATACAAACCACCTATTAACTGGATGACAAATATTTGTGGAATTTAGACACTGTTTTCTCTGTTCTTCCCCATTCTTCGTTTAGTTGTCAGAGATTTCTTTTTAAATTATTCAAAAAGTTAGGCTTCAGCAAAAATATATTTAGAATCCAAGTCTCTCTGACTTCGCTTGTATTTCATTCCTCCCAATAACCAAGCATTGAAAACAGGACACAAACAATGCAAAACATGAAACAGCAGAAAGCCATGAGGCTTCCAATCAAAATGCATTTAAAGGGACACTCCAAACCCACTTAAGCAGGGATGCCCAAAAGGTAGATCACCATATGTTTTGAAACATGCTAAAGGCATGCAAAGCATCATGGAACTTGTAGTTCTACAACATCTGGGGATCCGGCAGAAACTGAACAGAGCATCTGTCTTGCAATGGCCTCTCACTGAGCTGCATTGGGAAAGTAACAGAAAGTCTGGGCTGGGGAAGAAGGAGAAGACTTGCAAAGGCTGCAGACAAGAGATCTGCAGCTTTTCATTAGGTGTATATCTACTAAAAATTGACCTTTTAAATTTGGGTTGTGGAGTGTTCCTTTAAGGCAGTTCATCCATTCGTAATCCCTAAAGTAGGCATCAGTTCGACTCTTCTCTAGGAACTACTGATCACAGATGGGCTAGAATTCTGCATCAGTCATGGGTGGAAATTATAAAATGCTGAGAGTGATGGCTATAACAAGCTCAAAGGTTATCATCCATGCAAAATATCCACATTATAACTGTACAAAGGTAAAGTATAAACCAATATAACTAACAAAGTGGACACAAGCAAAGTAAAATAGTAGCCTCACTTAGCCGCATTTTAAACAATAATACGTACAAATAAAATCTGAGATAATGGTGGGCTGTAAATAATGATGACAACGCGGGCCAAGCTTTCTGATAGGAAAACCTGGTTAACACCCAGTCGTAGTAAGTCAATGACATAGCGTGGTTTAGTTGGTACTCCATGACCTGAGAACATGGGATTGCTGGCCACAAATAGCCTAACTCCACTCCCATTCTCAATTTTATATTAAAAGTTCTATACTTTTATCATTATTGTATTCTAGAGCAGTATTCATATAATGAATGGTCTAGAACAGTGGTCTACAGCCCAGTCCTCATGGACCACCAACAGTTCAGGTTTTGTCAGTATCTCCATTGCAATAAATCAGGGAAATAAATAAATCCTGGACTGTTGGTGGGCCATGAGGACTGGGTTGGAGACCACTGGTCTAGAATACGATAATACTAAAACTATAGTCTGTAGAATGTAAGTTCGTTTGAGCAGGGTCCTCTACACCCTCTGTTTCTGTGCATCCAACTTGTCTTGTTGCAAATACATGGCTGTTAGTCCACCTATTGTACAGCGCTACGGAATTCACTTGCACTTTATAAATGCTACTAATAATATTGTATAGTTTAGTAATGTGCTGTGCGCCAGTAGCCCACAATCCTGTACTCATTTGGAAACATTTCTCTGGTGTCACCAGAAACAGGACAGCAGGGAACAAGTCCTGACGGACAGGAACCCAAAATCAGGACTGTTAGGCATTAGGTATGGTGTCTCTGTTATGGTGCCAGGTGTGTACTTGTGTGTGCCTCTCAGAGGTCAGGTCAAGGTGCTGTCACCCTGCTGCTTCTGCCCACCCACGATCCTCCTAAGTACTTCCATTGCTCTCTTATAGATGTGAATGGCGCTGCTGAGCACTTTCTTATTATAATGACCCCCTACCTTGTGTTTGCAAGCAGGGAAGAACACGATAACAAAAATTAGAATTCTTATACTTTGCAGCACCGTCCACATTATTAAACAAGTGTGGCATGCTTTACGATGCACCTGGTGGATTGGGGATAGCATTTTCCATGGCACACCCTGCCACCCCAGATCCACTTGGTGGTGTAGCAGTGTGTATGCACATGTCTGTGTACATACAACCAGTCTATCATTGGTTGTACATGTGTGAATATAACTATGTTAATGTGAAGAGTTTTGTACTTCTTAGTATTTGCACCTATGTGTATCTCAGTTTGCGTATCTGTGTGTATGGACATGTCTGCGTGAAACTGCCTTTGTTACAGTGATTGTATCTCTGCATATCAGTATGCATACCTATATGTGAACTTGTGTACCTCTTGTTGTGTTGACCCTGGAGATAGGCGTACCTGGTTAGCAGTTGTCACATCAAACAATTGAATTCTTCACATTATGAGGATTTAAAGATGTTCTAAACTCAATTGTGCAGTTTGCATCCTTGACAATTAAAAATCCTACTATTAATCTGCGGTGTCATAAGCTGTCCATGAGGTCTGTAATCCATCCAGTTTTTTAAGATTCCTCTAACGTGTAATCAATGGTTTCTAACAGTGAAAAATTGACATAGTTTATCCTGATGACATAGTCCGCCAGTGGCCTTCAGAGAGAGAACTTCAGCTATGCAGCCACTTGAGCTGAAATTAACAATATTTATTTATTTATAACACATTTTACTAGGAAGGATTCATTGAGATTTCTCTTATTTTCAGGTATATGTTATTCTAGAACATATTCAAATAACTGTATCTTCTGTGATGCTCATTCAGCGAGTTTGGGATCTATCTACAAACAGATACATAAATGTAATCAGGTAATCTCTACACTTTTAAGGTGGTTGCTACAGGAACTTGTGAAATTCTGGTTAGATTAGACCCTATTCATGTTTCTTAAAGGATCACTATAGGGCAGTGATGGCGAACCTTTTTGAGCCCGAGTGCCCAAACCGCAATACATGCCAACTTTTTTTTCCTCAAAGTGCCAACACGGCAATTAAACCTGAATACTGAGGTTTACGTTTAGAAAAAACAACTCGTACAGTTGTCCGAACTAATTAACAACTTTTGTTTTAAAAGAAGAACACAACAGAGAGTTCAATGATACAAATTTTAAATAATGATATAAATAGATAAAATTAAGCTTATATTTATTAGTATCTCCAACAAATGCAATACATAAACACAGACTGCTGAACACATTCACACACCGACTGCTAAATACATACACACACCGTCTGCTAAATACATACACACACATCGGCTACTAAATACACACACACACACTCCGCTGAATACACATACAGACAGACTGCTGAATACATATGCAGACAGACTGCTGATTACACACAAACTGCTGAGTACACACACACAGTCTGCTGAATACATACACTGCCGAATACACACACACAGACTGCTGAGTACACACATAGACTGCAAAGTACATACACACAAACTGCTGAGTACATACACACAGTCTGCTGAATACATACACACAGACTGCTGAATACATACACCCAGACATCTGAGTACACACAGACTGCTGAATACATACACTGCTGAATACACACACACACAGACAGACTGCTGAATACACACACACAGACTGCTGAGTACACACAGACTGCTGAATACATACACTGCTGAATACACACACACAGACTGCTGAATACATACACACACACAGACTGCTGAATACATACACTGCTGAATACACACACAGCCAGACTGCTGAATACACACAAACAGACTGCTGAGTACACACAGACTGCTGAATACACACACACAGACTGCTGAATACACCCACAAAGACTGCTGAATACACACACTGCTGAGTACACACAGTCTGCTGAATACATACACACACACACACACATACTGCATTGAGGGGTGCAGTGTATGTGTTTGTGTGTAAGGGTGTGGAATGCTGTGTGTGTGTCTGAGGGGTGTTGTGTGTGAGGGGTGCTGTGTGTGTGGGGGTGCTGTGTGGGTGCGGGGTAGGGTGCTGTATGTGGGGGAAGGGGTGCTGTGTGGGAGGTAGGTGTGCTGTGTGGTTGTAGGGGTGCTGTGTGAGGGTAGGGGTGCTATGGGGTAAGGGTGCTGTGTGGGTAGGGGTGCTGTTGGGGTGTAGGGGTGCTGTGCTGTGGGGAGTAGGGTGCTGTGTGTGTGTGGGGGTAGGGGTGCTTGCTGTTAGTAGGGGGCTAAGTTTTTGTGCAGTGTGGGGGGGGTAGGGGTGCTGCAATGCTGTGTGGGGTAGGTGTGCTATGCTGGCATGTATGGGGGGGGGGTAGGGGTGCTGTGCTGTGTGGGGGGTAGGTGTGCTGTGCTGTGTGGGGGGTAGGGGTACAGCTCTGGCCAATCAGCATCTCCAGAGGGTGGAGACACTGAATGGCAGTAATGTACACTATTCAGGACTGCCCAAGGAAGCACCTGTAGCAGCCATCTAAGGAGTGGCCAGTGGAGTTATCAGTAGGCTGTAATGTAAACACTACATTTTCTCTGAAAATACAGTTTTTACAGCAAAAAGCCTGAAGGGAATGATTCTACTCACCAAAACAAATGCAATAAGCTGTAGTTGCTCTGGTGACTATAGTGTCCCTCTAAATATGGTCTAACTTACCAAAGAGATTGCCAGAATAATTGGAGCCCAACATGAACACATGAATGAAAACTAGCTATTTTGTTTCCCCATATTGAGTTTAAAAGCAGTTAATTCACTTCATAAAAGGCTAGTCTAAAAGGGATACTCTTTAAACCAGAGCCACTGCAACTTAATGTGGTGGTTCTGGGGCAAATAGATTGTTCATGTAGTCTTCTGAGAAAAGGCAGTGTTTAAAGACTGTCTGACCAACCACTGCAACAAGTGTCATTAGGCAGCAAAGTAAATGCAAACAGATGCTAACTGGCACAGCATGTAATTTGAACTACCGTATATACTCGAGTATAAGTCGAGTTTTTCAGCACAATTTTTGTGCTGAAAAACCCCCACTCGACTTATACTCGAGTCAGTCTCTGTATTATGGCAACTTACATTGCCATAATACAGACAAGGACCGCCGGGCTCATTACAAGCCCGGTGGTCCCATTGGGGGCTGGCAGCGAGCTGTTACTTACCATTCCTGCAGCTCCCTTCTCTCTCCTCCGGTCCGGTCAGCTCCCCTGTCAGCTCCACTGTAAGTCTTGCAAGAGCCGCGGGGACGAAAACATTTAAATATTAAAATTAAAATAATAATAAAATTTAAAAAAATTAAATATTAAAATTAAAAACATTTACATAATAAAATAAAAAAATACTAAAATTAAAAAATTAAAATTAAAAAATTAAAAATAATAAAAATGCCCTCCCCCCCACCCAGTTCACACACACTACACACTACACACACACACTCATACAAACAATCTGCATTATACACACACACTCTGCATTATATACACACACTCATACACACACACACACTCTCTGCATTATATACACACACTCATACACACACACACACACACTCTGCATTATACACACACACACACTCATACAAACACACTCTGCATTATATACACACACTCATACAAACACACACTCTGCATTATATACACTTCTCTCTCCTCCGGTCCGGTCAGCTCCCCTGTCAGCTCCACTGTAAGTCTTGCAAGAGCCGCGGGGACGAAAACATTTAAATATTAAAATTAAAATAATAATAAAATTTAAAAAAATTCAATATTAAAATTAAAAACATTTACATAATAAAATAAAAAAATACTAAAATTAAAAAATTAAAATAAAAAAATTAAAAATAATAAAAATGCCCTCCCCCCACCCAGTTCACACACACTACACACTACACACACAAACACACACTCATACAAACAATCTGCATTATACACACACTCTCTGCATTATATACACACACTCATACACACACACACACACACACTCTGCATTATACACACACACACTCATACAAACACACTCTGCATTATATACACACACTCATACAAACACACACTCTGCATTATATACACGCACACTCTGCATTCACACAAACACACACACTCTGCATTATATACGCACACAGAGTGCACACAGAGTGCACACAGAGTGTGCGTATATAATGCAGAGTGTGTGTTTGTATGAGTGTGTGTGTATAATGCAGAGTGTGTGTTTGTATGAGTGTGTGTGTATAATGCAGTTGTTTGTATGAGTGTGTGTGTATAATGCAGAGTGTGTGTTTGTATGAGTGTGTGTGTATAATGCAGAGTGTGTGTTTGTATGAGTGTGTGTGTATAATGCAGTTGTTTGTATGAGTGTGTGTGTATAATGCAGAGTGTATGTTTGTATAAGTGTGTGTGTATAATGCAGAGTGTATGTTTGTATAAGTGTGTGTGTATAATGCAGAGTGTGTGTTTGTATGAGTGTGTATATAATG